TAATTTATTTTTTTTTTAATTTTATTTTTTTTATATTTCAAAGCTTTGATAGCGCTCCCGGCACTTTTGGCGAAAGACAGGAGGAGCGCGATCGCGCTCCCAGCACTCTAGGGGTTAAAAGGTCGCTGCATTAGAAAGGTTGAGAACCACTGATTTAGCAGGTGAAATTAAGGAGATGCGTGTTCAAGTTAAAGAGCAGAAAGACGGGTGATGACTTTGTGGCCAATGAGATGTATGTATCGTACAGGCTGAGACGTAAAACTTGTTCATGCTGCTTTATCAGCAAGTTACAGAGCATAGGCTGTGAAACATGATTTCGGTATTTTCTGTATCATAACCGCCTTTTAGACCTCCTCCCTTGTTTCCTACAAAGGCTTAATTTGCTTTATAATAAAACTGTTTTTGTTTTTCAAATGAAGAGCAGGTAGGTTTGAGTTCAGATTTTTTCTATCCCCTGCCCTCACAGAGGATTACAAATAAGAGATGGCAATTTAGAAAGGAGCCGTGTTCATATATAAAATTGTAGTACAGCTTTTGGGGTGCACTCCGTGGGTTTCCCGAGGGCATCAGGCTCGCTGTGCCTCGAGTGGAGGTGCCTGCGATGCTGGAACGTGGTGCTTTAGTAACTGCGGCCTCTGCCGTGGGACGGAGGCAGGTCGCAGTAGTGTTGAATTTTGTGCGATAAGGAGGGCGGGCTGTGAGCCATGGAGCAGCTCTTCCCCACCTGAACGTGCCAGTCCCTGGGCTCTTGCTAAGTCGCTTCTGAGGCAGCGGGTCCGGGCAGCCCACGCTGCCCTCCTGACACCCTCTCCGGGGGCGGTGCTGTGGCCCCTGGGCCCCGTGTGAGCACGCCCTCCATCTCAGCGTCCCCTCGCCTCCTGGGAAAGCCCCACCAAGTCCAGGTTTGGGCCTTTGTGACGTTGGTGTTAACAGCCTTGTCTTTCCTTTTTCGAAAAATAGCAAAACACCGAATTGCTCATAAACCTCACTCCAAACCCAAAACTTCAAATAGTTTTGAAGCGGATTTTGCAAATGTTGAATCCAAGGATCTGCTCGCGGACCAGGAGCTGTGGGCTCGGCTGGAAGAACTGGAGCGACAGGAGGAGCTGCTGGGCGAACTTGAGAGGTACTGACAGTGGGCCCCGCCCCCAGAGCTTCCTCCGCTCAGCTCCTCACCCCTCCTCCTGGGTCAGATAGCGTGGACACAGGACGCGCACGGGGTTCAAGTGGCAGGTGTCCCGCCCCTTGAAGTAAGCATGAATTCTCCAGAATATTTCCCTGTAGGGCCGTGTTCACACACATGCCTGCGCACGTGGGTGTAGATGTGCCGTGTTCATGTACGTGCCTGTGCACGTGGGTACAGATGTGCCTGTCATCAGCGTCCCTGTTTTTATAATAAGTATGGATATCTCATATATTACATTTTTAAAAATATATATATTTTATTGATTTTTTACAGAGAGGAAGGGAGAGGGATAGAGAGTTAGAAACATCGATGAGAGAGAAACATCGATCAGCTGCCTCCTGCACTCCCCCTACTGGGGATGTGCCCGCAACTAAGGTACATGCCCTTGACCAGAATCGAACCTGGGACCCTTCAGTCCGCAGGCCGACGCTCTAGCCACTGAGCCAAACCTGTCAGGGCTCATATGTTACATTTTGAATGAAGTGTTTTTATGTTGAATAACTTGTTAAAGAGGAAACGCGCTGAGCGTGTGTTGCCAGGCCGGGCCTCCCACTTCCTTTGCGCACTTGTGTTGTTGCGGGCAGTTTGTGACCGGGCAGGAGTCAGCTCCATGGGCATCCCCTGCGGGGAGAAGGCATGGCACCGGCTGCCGGGCTCCTGGGCGTCTCACCACGCAGGCTCCCGGCTGCTTTGCTTGGGTGATGTGCCGTAGGCGTGCTTAGTCTCCGTGTAAAATGGCGCAGAAAGGACAGATTTCCTCCCCTCCTCTGCGCTCCAGGCCTTTTTGATTAACTGATCCTGTTTCATTTTTAAATCCGTTTAGTGGTGTTCTTGGTCATGATCTCTCTTTTTTGCATCATGGCATTTCAGTCCCATTGCACTTTGGGTTTTGTTATTTTTATAAGGTCCTCCAATCCTGTGTAGAATGAAGCATGAATAATGTGCATGCATGTCTGTATATGAATAAAGTTGTGTGCACATGTATACATTATTTTTTAAAATCATAACACATGCTTGTAAATGTAGAAATAGAAGATAAGAGTGTTCATGTTCTGTGGCTTTAGTTTCTGATCTTTAAACAGAGATACAGAATCCTTCGAATTTCTTACAAATTTCTGGTAGTGTTATTTATATTGTGCTTGTATTTTGTATGGCCAGCGTCCTCTTTGCAAAGATTAGAAAAATCATGTACTCTGTTGTACTTTTGTTTGAATAACCACAGGACACAGAATCAGCAGAGGAACTAATGTGTTTCTGTTTATTTCAGAAAATTTTTGTTGACCTAGAATTCTAGTTAAAAAGTATCCTATTCGA